CAAAAAAATATATTTTTTTTGTACATAAAAAAAAGGAAAACTTTGTTTTGTTAAATTTTTTTTAAAAAAGGGGGTCATGTCCTTGAACTACGTAATGATATGATTCATGCGGCGACATGATTCGTAGGCAACCCCCAAAAGGTTCAATCAAAATATTTTTCAACGGCTCTAAAATAAGGCAAGGTGTAAAAAAACAAAAAAAAGGAAAAAAAGAAGAGAGGAATAAATAAGAGTGTCAATAAGCAGCAACCTTATAAGCCGGAATGAAACATGAAGCCTTCCAAAAGCATGTTAGAGACGTGATAATGTTAGGAGCATAGCATAGTTACGTGTGATTCGTATTTATAAAATGCTTAACCCTAACACATTTGTTGCCTCTTATATAGTAAGCTTAAAGTGGTTGGTTTGTGGTGAAACTGGCAACACATTATTACTTGACCAGATCTAAGGGGGAGGTAGCGATGGCTAACAATGATGAAATTGAGTTGGTTAGTTACGACCCTCTGGGTCAATTGGTTGAGCAAGAGTCGGAGGAAGTAAGAAGATTGAAATATCAACTGAGTATGTGTATTTGGCTTGGGTCTCTAGTCAGCCTCCGCCTCAGGGTCCCTCTGAGGGAACTTCCACCATACCCTAGGCTACACAACCACCGCTCCCTGCAACGAGCGATCATATTCTACCACCAGGGTGTGTGCCCAACTATAGCTTCCATACCGTCCCTGGTATCTCTAATGTGCAGCCTTCTGCCGCACCGGTTAGGAACACACCTCTCGTCGTTTTTGGTCCGTCTGTGTATACAATCCCCCCACCAAATCTTGTGACGAGGCCAAATATCGAGCCGCTATCTCATGCTTACGATGGCCAATACTACTCTCCAGATATGGCTTTTAAGGGTTCGACTCCACACAATCATACCCACGATATGTGTTACCTGCAGAAAATGAAAAGGCTATAAAGACAAGAGAGCCAGACGAGACGGTCAGGAAAATGAAAAGTCTTGAGCAGAACATAAAGAACATACAAGGACTAGGTGGTCACAAAAGTGTCTCATTCAGTGATCTGTGCATGTTTTCTGACATCCATTTACCCCAGGGTTCAAGACACCAAAATTTTAGAAATATGATGGACACGGTGACCCTATCGCCCACTTGAAAAGGTACTGCAACCAGCTGAGGGGTGCAGGAGGAAAAGAAGAGTTGCTGATGGCTTATTTTGGGGAGAGTCTGGTAGGGGTAGCCTCTGAATGGTTCATTGACCAAGATATCTCTCACTGGCATGTTTGGGACGACATGGCCCAGGCCTTCGTCAAACAATTTCAGTACAACATTGATATTGCGCCAGATCGCAATTCTCTGTCCAATATGAAGAAAAAGCCAACTGAAAGCTTCAGGGAGTATGCCGTTAGGTGGAGAGAGCAAACATCTAGAGTTAAGCCACCCATGGATGATCATGAGTTAATCACTGTCTTCGTTCAGGCTCAGGATCCTGATTATTTTCAAAATATAATGTCCGTAATGGGAGACCTTTTGCTGATGCAATCAAGATAGGAGAAATGGTCGAGAATGGCCTCAATACTGGCCGAATTATAAGTCAAGCGACTCTCAAAGCAGCCACTCAAGAAATCCATAATAGGCCGGACAACCTGGTTAATCAAAAGAAGAAAGATGAAGAGGCCATGATGGCATCACGGGCAAAAAGAGGCCAAAGGGGAGCATCTCAACCCCCAGATCCACGATACTTAGTTGCTCCACAGTATGCAACGTTCAATGCTCAGTCTTATGCCAAACCATCCAATCACCAGTAGATGCGGGCCCCAGCTTTGACATACCTTCGTTCGCGACAACAGAACTCTCAATCACCCTACAACCCTCGTCCAAAACAAGAGTACGGAAAGGAACATAAGCAAAGGGACAATTTCACGCCAATCGTAGAGTCCTACACAAGTTTGTTTGAAAGGCTAAATGTTGTGGCATGATTGAGCCGCTTCAAGGGTATGTTTCTGATCCATATGCAAAAGTTTTTGACCCTACTGTACGGTGCATGTACCATTCTAATGTCCAGGGACATAGCATTGAGGATTGTCGGGCTTTGAAAAAGGAAATAGAAGAGATGATTCAAGAAGGAATGGTCGTGGTCCACAATAATGGCACCCTAAACGCCATGACCAAGCACACATTGTTAGGATGATTTACAATGACAAAGAATATGGAGACGGTTTGGTGGAAAATGTCAAGAACCTGTCCACTGAATGCAAGGCAATCAAAATTGTTGACGATCTTGTTTGATGCTGATGTGCAAATTCATAGCTAAGATGTTGAGTTTGATAATTGGAAAGTCGCTCCCTTCCTTGCCGGGAAGGAGTCTTGGTAACTTATTTTGTCATAATTTCTATCATCCGGATTATTTCGAGGTTGTGATCCAGATGTTGTTTGTTTGTCCTGTCATCAAACATCTCTATCCTTTAATCAATGAAATGCAACTTTTTTCCCCTCTTCTTTGTGTCATTTTAATCCATTGTGTTTAGTTCTTCTTGCATATATATTTCTTTTCACGCCAATTTTAGTGGCACGACATGCATGCGGAGTTTTCGGCTAGATTAAAGAAAGCTTGTCCAATCTTGAAATGAATTGAGGAAAAACACTTGGAGGATAACTAAGAGGTTGAAGAACTTTGATGATAAGCCTGTCACATGGAACCAGAATAGTCATATCCGTAGAGGTTAAAGATTTTTCTCTCAAACCTATCATGAATACCGGCTTAAGGATAATTGAAATTTTTGTTGGGCTAATCGATGAAAAGCTTTTTTATCCATGGCCTGCATAATCTAATCATGCACGTGATTTTTGCCCTAAGCAAATTAATTCCAAAAAAAAAGTTTCAAATAATTGACTTCTTTACAATTTTTGTGAATTTTATTAAATTCTTGTGTTAATTGGTTGCATTTTATTCATATAAAAATACAAAAAAAATATATGCACTTGCATTTAGGAATTTAATTTCACAATTTTGGTATTAATTAAGTATAAATTAGTTCTAGAACAAATTTTAAAGAAAATCGTAAAAAAAAAAATAGTTTCTTTGCACCTTTAATTGTTAATTGTTGCAATCATCTTTAAATAGAGTTTTAAATAATTTTAGAAATTAAATAGTGTAACTAGGTCTTTGTTTGGTTTTAGCATATTATAAAATCAGANGTCTAAAGTTTTGACCGAGATTAGAACTTCCCCAAGGGCGCCGAAGCATGGAGGGGGTATCTTCAAAAGTTAACTGCTACTGGAATCACATGGAAATACCACTCATTCTCACCAAAAGAGGTCATATACAGGTCTTACCACCATTTTTTTTGATTTTGATGGGTCTTCGGGGTTTTCAGCCGTATGTACCTATGAGAGCCCTACGCCAATTAGGTCGAAAACAAGTCATGCCCACAGTGGAGCACATGCAAAGATGCATGTGGGAGGTAACATCGGAGGATCCTGTTCGTGAGGCCTATGCTAAGCAGGTTTGTGATAAAATTAAGGTGCTTGAATTTCACACTATGATAGAAGATCAAGATCAAGGAGAGTTAGACCCCGCGTATTTTGAGTGGTTCTATGACCAAGATGCTTTTGGATCTAGGCAAGAGACAATTCTTAAGAGCACGACAGAATGGGAGACTGAAATTAGAACAAGAGTGGGGCAAGCCAAGGAGGAAATAGCAAGAGACTATGAATCCACCATCTGCGAACTACGTAGGGATATAAGTTGCGTCAATGTGAATAGGGATTTGCAGTATACTGAGTTTAAAGAGGAGAAAACCAAATTAATACACGAGGTTTAAGCGCTTCAAGCACAGCTTCGACAAGCGAGAATAGAAGCCGCTACTCAGCAACAAGCGGCCATTCCAAAGCACGAAGAAATGCATTACAACCTTATCATCCATGATCGAAGGGCTTGGGCCAGGGCTGCAGAATCAAGTAAGAACTAGCTAGAGAATTAGCTAGCAAGGGTCCAGAACCAGCTGAATCTGGTGTCACAATACGAGGCGGATATATCAGAGATAGCTAATAACCATGAGCGACACATCCAGTTTTTAAGTCGGAGCCAGGAGCATGTTAGAAGGAGGGTCTATGAGGTGGCTAGTTATACCGCTCGAGGGTGTGTGACTTGTCAGGGTTTGACCCGAGAGCAATTTACGATAGCGCCCAACTTCGCACGCCACATTGCCACAGACTTAAGGCGCATATACCATGATATGTGAGGTTAGCCGCAGGAATAAGCACCTTAACTACAATGATGCCGGTGGATTCTCATTCGGAGATTAGAGTCTTCTATTAGTTGGCAGTCCACTTTGATTGTTCATTTGTAGTCATCAAGTTTGTAAGAGTCTTTTAGTGTTTTGAGTCTTGCTTAAATATTCGTCTTGTTTGAGTCAAGTCCGGTCTTGTTTAAATATTCATCTTTTGGGTTGTATCTTTATGTAATTTTCCTTTGTCTTGTACCAAAAAAAAATCAAAAATCAATGAAAAAGATTTTGTTTTGGGAAAATTCAAAAATGAACCAAAAAAAAAAAGTTTTTTTTGTACATAAAAAAAAGGAAAACTTTATTTTGTTAATTTTTTAAAAAAAAGGGTCATGTCCTTGAACTACGTAATGATTTGATTCATGCGGCGACATGATACGTAGGCAACCCCCAAAAGGTTCGACCGAAATATTTTTCAACGGCTCTAAAATAAGGGAAGGTGTAAAAAAACCAAAAAAAAAGGAAAAAAAGAAGAGAGAAATAAATAAGAGTGTCAATAAGCAGCAACCTTATAAGCCGGAATGAAACATGAAGCCTTCCAAAAGCATGTTAGAGACGTGATATGTTAGGAGCATAGCATAGTTACGTGTGATTCGTATTTTTAAAATGCTTAACCCTAACACGTTTGTTGCCTCTTATATAGTAAGCTTAAGGTGGTTGGTTTGTGGTGAAACTGGCAACACATCATTACTTGACCAGATCTAAGGGGAAGGTAACGATGGCTAACAATGATGAAATTGAGTTGGTTAGTTACGACCCTCTGGGTCAATTGGTTGAGCAAGAGTCGGAGGAAGTAAGAAGATTGAAATATCAACTGAGTATGTGTATTTGGCTTGGGTCTCTAGTCAGCCTCCGCCTCAGGGTCCCTCTGAGGGAACTTCCACCATACCCCAGGCTACTCAACCACCGCTCCCTGCAATGAGCGATCACATTCTACCACCAGGGTATGTGCCCAACTACAGCTTCCATACCGTCCCTGGTATCTCTAATGCGCAGCCTTCTGCCACATCGGTTAGGAACACACCTCTCATCGTTTCTGGTCTGCCTGTGTATACAATCCCCCCACCAAATCTTGTGACGAGGCCAAACATCGAGTCGCTATCTCATGTTTATGATGGCGAATACTACTCTCCAGACATGTCTTTTAAGGGTTCGGCTCCACACAGTCAGACCCCACAGTATGTGTTACCTGCAGAAAATAAAAAGGCTATAAAGACAGTAGAGCGAGACGAGATGGTCAGGAAAATGAAAAGTCTTGAGCAGAACATAAAGAACATACAAGGACTAGGTGGTCACAAAAGTGTCTCATTCAGTGATCTGTGCATCTTTCCTCACATCCATTTACCCCCAGGGTTCAAGACACCAAAATTTCAGAAATATGATGGACACGGCGACCCTATCGCCCACTTGAAAAGGTACTGCAACCAGCTGAGGGGGCAGGAGGAAAAGAAAAGTTGTTGATGGCTTATTTTGGGGAGAGTTTGGTAGGGGTAGCCTCTGAATGGTTCATTGACCAAGATATCTCTCACTGGCATGTTTGGGACGACACGGCCCATACTTTCGTCAAACAATTTCAGTATAACATTGATATTGCGCCAGATCACAATTCCCTATCCAATATCAAGAAAAAACCGACTGAAAGCTTCAGGGAGTATGCCGTTATATGGAGAGAGCAAGCATCCAGAGTTAAACCACCCATGGATGACCACGAGTTAATCACTATCTTCCTTCAGGCTCAGGGTCCTGATTATTTTCAAAATATGATGGCTGCAATGGGCAGACCTTTTGCTGATGCAATAAAGATAGGAGAAATGGTCGAGAACGGCCTCAATACTGGCCGAATTATAAGTCAAGCGGCTCTCAAAGCAGCCACCAAAGAAATACAGAATAGGCCGAATAGCTGTGTTAACCAAAAGAAGAAAGATGAGGAGGCCATGATGGCATCACGGGCAAAAAGAGGCCAAAAAGGAACATCCCAACCCTCGAATCCACGATACTCAGTTGCTCCACAGTATGCAACTCAGTCTTTTGCCAAACCATCCAATTGCCAACATATGCAGGCCCCAACTCTAACATACCTTCATCCACGACATCAGAACTTTCAATCACTCTACAACGCTCGTCCAAAACAAGAGTGTGAATGGGAACATAAGCGGAGGGACAATTTCATGCCAATCGTAGAATCCTACACAAGTTTGTTTGAAAGGTTGAAACGTTGTGGCATGATTGAGCCGCTTCAAGGGTATGTTCCTGATCCATATGCAAAAGGTTTTGACCCTGCTGTACGGTGCATGTACCATTCTAATGTCCAGGGATATAGCATTGAGGGTTGTCGGGCTCTGAAAAGGGAAATAGAAAAGATTATTCAAGAAGGAATGATCGTGGTCCAAGATAATGGCACCCTAAACGTCATGACCAAGCACGCATTGTTCGGATGATTTTCAATGATAAATATGGGGACGGTTTGGTGGAAAATGTCAAGAACCTGTCCACTGAATGCAAGGCAATCAAAATTGTTGACGGTCTTATTTGATGTTGATGTGCAAATTCGTAGCTAAGATGTTGAGCTGATAATTGGAAACTCACTCCCTTCCTTGCCGGGAAGGAGTCTTGGTAACTTATTTTGTCATAATTTCTATCATCCGGATTATTTCGAGGTTGTGATCCAGATGTTGTTTGTTTGTCCGTCATCAAGCCTCTCTATACTTTAATCAATGAAATACAACTTTTTTCTTTGTGTCATTTTAATCCATTGTGTTTAGTTCTTCTTGCATATATAATTCTTTTCACGCCAATTTTAGTGACATGACATGCATGCGGAGTTTTCGGCTAGATTTTAGAAAGCTTGTCCAATCTTGAATTGAATCGAGGAAAAAACACGTGGAGGCCACGTAAGAGGTTGAAAAACTTTGATGATAAGCCTGTGTCAAGATCACATTGAACCAAAATAGTCATGANTATATATATATATATATATATATATATATAAAATCGAAAATCATTGAAAAAGATTTTGTTTTATAAAAATTCAAAAATGAACAAAAAAATTGTTGTTTTTGTACATAAAAAAAAGAGGAAAACTTTGTTTTGTTAAATAAGAAAAAGGGAGGGGGGTCATGTCCTTGAACTACGTAATGATCTGATTCATGCGGCGACATGATACATAGGCAACCCCTAAAAGGTTTGATCGAAATATTTTTCAACGGCTTTAAAATAAGGCAAGGTGTAAAAAAAAAGAGAGGAATAAATAAGAGTGTCAATAAGCAGCAACCTTATAAGCCGGAATGAAATATGAAGCCTTCCAAAAGCCTGTTAGAGATGTGATAATGTTAGGAGCATAGCATAGTTACGTGTTATTCGTATTTATAAAATGCTTAACCCTAACACGTTTGTTGCCTCTTATATAGTAAGCTTAAGGTGGTTGGTTTGTGGTGAAACTGGCAACACATCATTACTTTACCAGATCTAAAGGGAAGGTAGCGATGGCTAACAATGATAAAATTGAGTTGGTCAGTCACGACCCTCTGGGTCAATCGGTTGAGCAAGAGTCGGAGGAAGTAAGAAGATTGAAACATCAACTGAGTGATGTGTATCAGGCTTGGGTCTCTGGTCAGCCTCCGCCTCAAGGTCCCTCTGAGGGAACTTCCACCATACCCCGGGCTACTCAACCACCGCTCCCTGCAACGAGCGATCACATTCTACCACCAGGGTATGTGCCAAACTACAGCTTCCATACCGTCCCTGGTATCTCTAATGCGCAGCCTCCTGCCACACCGGTTAGGAACACACCTCTCGTCGTGTCTGGTCCGCCTGTGTATACAATACCCCCACCAAATCCTGTGACGAGGCCAAACATCGAGCCACTATCTCATGCTTACGATGGCCAATACTACTCTCTAGATATGGCTTTTAAGGGTTCGGCTCCACACAATCAGACCCCACAATATGAGTTACCTGCAGAAAATGAAAAGGCTGTAAAGACAGGAGAGCCAGATGAGATGGTCAGGAAAATGAAAAGTCTTGAGCAGAACATAAAGAACATACGAGGACCAGGTGGTCACAAAAGTGTCTCATTCAGTGATCTGTGCATGTTTCCTCACATCCATTTACCCCAGGATTCAAGACACCAAAATTTCAGAAATATGATGGACACGGCGACCCTATCGCCCACTTGAAAAGGTACTGCAACCAGCTGAGGGGTGCAGGAGGAAAAGAAGAGTAGCTGATGGCTTATTTTGGGGAAGGACTGGTAGGGGTAGCCTCTGAATGGTTCATTGACCAAGATATCTCTTACTGGCATGTTTGGGACGACATGCCCAGACTTTCGTCAAACAATTTCAGTACAACATTGATATTGCGCCAGATCGCAATTCCCTGTCCAATATGAAGAAAAGGCCGACTGAAAGCTTCAGGGAGTATGCCGTTAGGTGGAGAGAGCAAGCATCCAGAGTTAAACCACCCATGGATGACCATGAGTTAATCATTCTCTTCCTTCAGGCTCAGGATCCTGATTATTTTCAAAATATGATGGCTGCAATGGGCAGACCTTTTGCTGATGCAATCAAGATAGGAGAAATGGTCGAGAACGGCCTCAATACTGATCGAATTATAAGTCAAGCGGCTCTCAAAGCAGCCACCAAAGAAATCCAGGCCGAATAGCTGTGTTAACCAAAAGAAGAAAGATGAGGAGGCCATGATGGCATCACGGGCAAAAAGAGGCCAAAAAGGAGCATCTCAACCCCCGGATCCACGATACTCAGTTGCTCCACAGTATGCAACTCAGTCTTTTGCCAAACCATCCAATTGCCAACATATGCAGGCCCCAACTCTAACATACCTTCATCCGCGACATCAGAACTCTCAATCACTCTACAACGCTCGTCCAAAACAAGAGTATGAAAGGGAACATAAGCGGAGGGACAATTTCACGCCAATCGTAGAATCCTACACAAGTTTTTTTGAAAGGTTGAAACGTTGTGGCATGATTGAGCCGCTTCAAGGGTATGTTCCTGATCCATATGCAAAAGGTTTTGACCCTGCTGTACGGTGCATGTACCATTCTATTGTCCAGGGACATAGCATTGAGGGTTGTCGGGCTTTGAAAAAGGAAATAGAAAAGATAATCAAGAAGGATTGATCGTGGTCCAAGATAATGGCACCCTAAACGTCATGACCAAGCACGCATTGTTCGGATGATTTACAATGATAAAGAATATAGGGACGGTTTGGTGGAAAATGTCAAGAACTTGTCCACTGAATGCAAGACAATCAAAATTGTTGACGATCTTGTTTGATGCTGATGTGCAAATTCATAGCTAAGATGTTGAGCTTGATAGTTGGAAAGTCACTCCCTTCCTTGCCGGGAAGGAGTCTTGGTAACTTATTTTGTCATAATTTCTATCATCCGAATTATTTTGAGGTTGTGATCCAGATGTTGTTTGTTTGTCCTGTCATCAAGCCTCTCTATCCTTTAATCAATGAAATACAACTTTTTTCTTTGTGTCATTTTAATCCATTGTGTTTAGTTCTTCTTGCATATATAATTCTTTTCACGCCAATTTTAGTGACATGACATGCATGCAGAGTTTTCGGCTAGATTTTAGAAAGCTTGTCCAATCTTGAATTGAATCGAGGAAAAAACACGTGGAGAACAAGTAAGAGGTTGAAAAACTTTGATGATAAGCCTGTGTCAAGATCACATGGAACCAAAACAGTCATGAATACTGGTTTAAGGATAATTGAAAGTTTTGAAGTTTGGTTGGACTAATCAACGAAAATGTTTTTGCCATGGCATGCATAATCTGATCATATCAGGGAAGATGACCCAAATCCCCAAAGAAGGTGCATTCCAAGGAATTTAAAATGATTAGCTGGTACTGAAGTGCACCCTTCTACATCAGGATAAGGACCAAGAAAAGGTGACTCCAAATTGTCAAAAGTCATTTGTTGCGAACAAGATATTGACTACGAAACTATACAGCTGACAAAACCAAGAAGAGAGTCATGTCCATCAATGCCGAACCTGAGAAGAGATAGAATGTTTGGCATTCTTGAGGCTGGGAGGCCCTTTCTTCTGCTACCCCTTTTGACCCTGTTTTATTTTTCTTCGACCCCCCCTCTTTTGGAATCAAGTATAGAGTCAAAAAAAACGAAGATCCATGCCACCAGAAAGGTAGGAGCTAGGACAATCTGATTATAAAAAACAAAAGAGAAGAAAAGGAAAGAGAAAAGAAAAATGAATAGAAAAACAACAAAGAAATATTTCATGTTAGTTTGAACTACGTTTGACGTGATTCCTGTAAAGGATACGGAGGCAGCTCTACACGAGGGTTCAGTCTAACCAAATCAAAAATCAAAAATTCCCCAGTATCTGAAACTGGGGCGGAATTTTTTTATTTTTTTTATTTTATGAAGAGTCGATTCCAAGAGTTGTAAATATACAACCCTATCATCTTGAGTCTATTTTGAGCCTTAATGTGACCCTTTCTTTCTAACCCCCTCCAAAAGCCTTCCAAATGAAGACCTTCCAAATAGTCTTAAGAATGCCAAGGAAAACACGCAGTAAGCAACAGTTGTCACACAACGTAGAACAATGTCAAGTTGCTTGCACAAAAAGCTAAAACAAAGAAGAGATAATGAATGGAAATGAGAGAGTCTTATTGGTGAAAACCCTCATAGAAACTATAAGGCGATGGTAAGTAGAGATAAATAAATGAGAGAGGCCGGTTGGTGAAAACCTTTCAGGGCACCACTGGTCGAAGGTGAGCTGTGATTTGATGCAAATGATTGGCACAAAGAGGCCAAATTCAAAGACGAAAAGGAACAACAAGAAGAAAGGGTAGATTGGTTGGATAGATTCGGCCGCTCAGTCCAAAATGCATGTCATGATCATTAAAGTTGGCTACCATATTCAAAGGAGCCCCTTTTTTTTTCTTTCTCTCCACGTAAAGTGGCATTTTCAGTTAAATACTATTCCTTCTCACTTTTGCATCGCGTCATTTTATCCATTTGCATTTTTATTTTGAGTCAGTCTTTGTTAAAACAACCGAGAAATGATTTCAACATCTGTTACCAGCTTTCCAATTGTACAAAGCGAGTTCTATCCTGGCACATCGAAGAGGACATACCCAGGAAGAAACATGCACAATAAGCTTGTCGAAGCTAAACGAGATCTGAGGGTCCATGCCAACGGAAGTTCTAAAAGTTTGCTGGTCTATTTGTTTAGAAGTCAATAAAGAAAGGGCCACAAAATTGGTCACTATTTCGTGGAAGTGCAAAATAAAAGATGTTGAGGCATACGCGGCAATGACAAAGGCATGAATCCAACTCTGATTTCCTCTGATAAGCCGAACAATGTATTTTGAAGAAATCAAAAAGGTCACTAAGCAAGACTTGCTTCATGGGCAAAGCTGATAGCACCACATACACAAACTAAAAAAAATCAAGTTTGATTTTTAAAGGAAAAACTGCCAAAGTGAAGATTTGCTTTATTGACAAGGTTCAACAACACCTTAGACATCCGGCTTTGAAATAGCTGGAGGCGACAGATAGAAAGCTAAAATTTCCAGAACACGGTACAGAGCCTCCTAGTCGTTGGGTACCATTACTTGCAAATCAGTTCTCTAACAACGAGGTGGCCGCAGATTCAAACTGATCAAGGCATGCAAGGCCACAAACCGACCACCATTGTTAAACTCACAAATCTTTCTTTGTTTGAAGCAGGAAACAAAGCAGTGTAGAATTGAAGTTCTCAAAGGACGAATGTCACCAAATGTGAGTTCTTCAAGCTCTCTGCTTTTTCTTTCTAGATATGCCTATAATGACATCATTAGCCACTGCATTTTCCAGCATAAGGTACATCAGTCCTTAGTTGAGGTCCCATTTTGACATAGGGCACACCACACCCTAGTCGCATGTTTAGTATAGGGTACACCAAACCCTAGCCGAATTTTCCACTATAAGGTACAACTATCTTTAGTGAGGTTCTATTTGATACAAGGTATACTATCCCCTGGTTACTTTCCTTCTTAGTGATACAGGGCGCCAACCCCTAGTTACATTCCTTCTTAGTAGTATAGGGCGCCAACCCCTAGTTACATTCTTTCTCAATGATACACGGCGCCAACCCCTGGTTACGTTCCTTCTTAGTGATATAGGGCACCAACCCCTAGTTACATTCTTTCTCAGTGATACAGGGCGCCAATCCCTAGTTACATTCCTTCTTTGTGATATAGGGCGCCAACCCCTAGTTACATTCTTTCTCAGTGATACAGGGCGCCAACCCCTGGTTATTCCTTCTTAGTGNAAATAGGGCACACCACTCCTTAGCCGCATGTTTAGTATAGGGTACACCAATCCCTAGCTGTATTTTCCGACATAAGGTACAACAATCTTTAGTGAGGTTCCATTTTAGTACAAGGTATCCTATCCCCTGGTTACTTTCTCTCTTAGTGATACAAGGCGCCATCCATTGTTTACATTCTCTCAGCGATACAAGGTGCATATCCCTAACCATATTCTCTCTTAGTAATACAGGGTGCCAACCCCTGGTTACATTCCTTCTCACTAATACATGGCGCCAACCCTTGTTATATTCCCTCTTAGTGATACATGGCGCCAACCCCTGGTTACATTCTTTCTCAGTGATACAGGGCGCCAACCCCTGGTTACATTCCCTCCAAGTCTTTCAACCTCACTCGTAGGTGACGCACTTCCTAGCTTGAGTCATTCCAATAGGAGACGCACTTCCTACTCTGAAACATTAATCCCAGGAGACGCACTTTCTAGTCCAAGTCCTTTAACCTCACTCGTAGGAGACGCACTTCCTAGTTTGAGTCATTACAATAGGAGACGCACTTCCTGATCTAAACCATCAAATCCTAGGAGATGCACTTCCTAGTACAAGTCTTGCAACCTCATTCCAATAGGAGACGCACTTCCTAATCTAAACCATCAAATCCAAGGAGACGCACTTCCTAGTCCAAACCTTTCCACCTCACTCATAGGAGACGCACTTCTTAGCTCGAATCGACCCTGTTCATTCTAATAAGAGATGCACTCCCTAATATGAATCATTAATCCTAGGAGACGCAATTCATAGTTCGAGTCCTTCAATTTCGTAGTCATTCCAGTGCTACCCATGGGAGATACACCTCCTAGTCTATGTCTTATCCGTTCTACTCCTAAGAGAAGCACATTCGATTCAGAGCCTTCTGTATCATTTTTGCATCTTTCAAATAAAATAAGCTGATCTGCAACTTTACCCAATAACTCACAAAATTTTCTCAGTGCCAAAGTGGGGCAGAAAATTTTGTTCATTTTGTTCATCTTTGATGGCTTTGCAGGCCCCGCCTCAGAGCACAGGTTGTGACGATCAAAGCTTGCCGTTTCAGTTATCATCAGAAGAAAGAAGTCTTTCGATCACAGTTTAGTTGGAGTTAACTTTGAAAATCTGTCAATAACCCAGCTTCTGAAGATTCATCATCTCAATTTCGGATCAGGAAAGCAGGCACTGAGATTGACTCATAATCTTTTCTTCAAAGAGCATCAAGATCCAAACTAAGGTCAACACAAACAAACAAGTCAAGAATCAAGATTTGACTCCAGAAGACACATAGATAGGAATTTTTAACTCTTAGTTTGCAGAAATATATAGTTCTCTCTCTCATCCTTTTGATGTAAGCAGTAAGTAACAGTAATAGCAATAACAACAACAGCAACAGTCTTAACTCCAGTGCCTGGTAGTCCCAGCTACCAAATTTTCAGAACTACACTGACCTGATTCCTTTATAGCCAAGGATATGTAGGCAACCTCGGAAGCAAGGTTCGCTCACCTTTTTTCAAAAAATTGCTTCCATTGGAGTGATATGTGAGCAAAAATTAGCTATGGCATTCACTTTTCTTTGCATGAAAACTCTTCATGTTCTCGAGCAAAGAGGAGCAGCTGTGAACACCTAATTTTTGCACTATTTTAACACCTCCTAAAGTTATTAGCGTTTTGTTATTTTAATTGTTTTTCTCAAATTTTGTGTCTTTAATTGCATATTTCCTATCATGAAAATACCAAAAAATAATAGTTCTTCCTTCATTTGTGCATTTTAGGAATTGACTAACTTTTCAATTGGTGAATCAATCTAGTTAATTGATCATTTGAATAAGTTATTTAATTAATTTATTTATTTGTGTAAATTTAGTTTAATAAGTAGGATTAAGGAAGAAATTTGGCCAAATTTGAAAGAAAAAGAGTGCAAGATAAGGGGCTGCTATTGAAAGGGTCCGAAACTACGTAGTTTTGCCTCAAAACTACGTCGTTTCATTAAGTGATTCAAAATTAAATCTCATCCATTCATCTCTCCCTCATCCAATGGTCCACAATCAATCTCCCAACTAGGTATTTAAGACTTAGAAATGCTGAAATTTTGCCCCATTTCACCCATAATTCTTTTCTCCTTCCTCTCTCTTCACTCTCTCTTTCTCCATAACCGCCGCCTCTCCACCGCCGCCGAAAATCGCCCACCGGCGGCCGTCCACCTCCAAATCACCCAAAAATCGCACCATACAATCTCCACATTCTCCTCTTTACATATCTATAAACCAAATCCTTAACAAAACCCTCAAACTCCTTGAATTTTAGATCTAGGAAACTTAAGCCGCAACTTTTTTGCCCAAATTCTTGAAGTTCCGGCCACTAACACCCCACAATACCTACATCAACGGATAGAGCTCCTCAATACCTACCTATTGATGTCAATTCTACACCAAAAATCCGGCGACCAAAAGTCCGGCCAAATTCCGGCGACCTCCCCGAACGCCCTCGTTTGGCATGCCACCATTTTTCGGCCACTTGAAATTTAAAATGGTAAAAAATACTATTCTTTTTTCATGGTTGATTTGTTTTATTATTTTTTCAGATTTTTATTTTTTTTGCCTCTTATTAATTATTTTAGCATTAGTTTTTGATGTTTTGAAATGCTGAATTTTTTGTTTTTACATTGGTTTGAATTGGTTAGTTAGTTTATTAGTTTGTGAAGGGTAAAAGGTAAATGATGAAATAGGGTACTAGTAGCTTACTTTTTACTAGTAGGGTGGGCGGAATGATATTTTTTCTCCTTGTTTCGGCTATAGCAGATTTTCAGGTTGTCCTTTCACCTTTTAGACAGCCTTTGAACAGTGTTTAGCACACAAAAGTTAGTCCTTTTGGACAAAAGTGGCTTTCTTTGCCAACTTAAGGGCAGCCCTTTCCTCACTTTACACACACTCTATCACACATTTGCTAGACATTTTTACACACTAAAAAATATAATTTTAGGAGTAAAAATCAGCAGCTGAACTTAAAGAAAGTAAGCTGAAATTTTAGCTTTATGAGTGCTTCTTAGAGTGAAAACTCTTTCAAAAAAGAATAAGTCTTTTAGAGTTGATTCTGGGTTTCTTCTCTAAGGTTTTCGGGCTGTTTAAACACGATTTTGCTGCTGTTTTCTACTATTTTTGTTGCTGAAATTTAGTTCTTCCCTGCTGACATTTTCTTTCTGCTATCCAGGTAATTCTCTCAAAGCGCTACTGTAATTTTGAGTCAAGAACGAATAGGAATGAAGCAGATTTAAGTATTATTCAGCTTCTTTTTGAGCTTTAAATATCTTGTTTTGTGTAGGATTTTGTATGTAAGCATGTGTAATGAATGTTGACCTTCTTGTTTAATTGTGGTTGACACCATATTTTAAAATATTTTGGCTCATAGCTCGTTGTCTTTTTCTTGTCCGTTGCAATGTATATTTGAGGCCGGAAGATTATCTCGTATTTTAACCTAATGCATGTTTCATGAAAAGGAAATATGATTTCTTTTAATTTTATAAGTTTTTCCTTTTAGTAGCTTATTGAGTTTAGTTTGCCTGAGATTTGTTAGCCAATGTTCAACAATCCGTGATGTTCATTTCCAAAATTTTTATTAGTGTGTTATTTCTTGTAATTATTGTTTTATAAGTATTTTGGTGTGGATTTATTTTTATGATCATAAAATAGTAGTTAGGTGATGAAAAGGATAAAATATTGGCCCCTGCAAATATAATAATGGTTTATCAATAGTTAATAGTAAGTTGGATAGAAAATATAAAATGCTAGGCCCAAAGTTAATAACTAATCTTTGGCCCAAAATGACCATTTAACTTCTAAAGGGGCCAGCAGCACAAGTGATTACTTTAATTGGACTCAATGCCCATGACAACCGAAACAGGCCGACATTTTCAATATAAGTGAGCTGGCCCATCACTAATGGTTCCATATCTATTTTTATATATAATTAAAAAAAAATAGTTTTTTCTTTTATTAAAATAACATTACAACTTAATCTCCTTAATAATTAATTTAAACGCAAGGCAACTAGTAGGTGCGCTTTAACTTTTTCATTCACGGACTCGTGCGCGTAGCGTGATATTAACTCTTAATATTTTAATCCAATAATCTCATTGTCACACCTCTTTTTGCCACGCAACCCTATTATGAGGTTGAGTTAGAAGAGTTTTTCCAATTAAAGTGACGTTTCGAAAAGGGATTATTTATTATTTAGAGTCGCCACTTGGAATTGAGTTTTGGTGTTCCAAGTCACCTTTTATTTGAATCCTTTTTTAAAAGGAATTGACTCTTAATTTATGGTATACGAAAAGAGAAGACTGAGTAAGGAATTCTGTTGACCGAGGGGAAGGTGTAAGGCACCCCTCGAGTCCCGTGGTTCTAGCACGGTCGCTTCTATTGACTAATGTAAGGCTTAAATCAATTTTTTGCTATTCTTATATTTTATTGATTATGGATTATTTATTATCGCTTAATTAATTATTATATATTTTTAATTATGTTCACTAAGATGGGGTACACACAAGGTATTCTTTAAAATTGAATGTTAAACCAAGGTACGAAATGTACACACGGTCAAAACATAATTATTTTAATTTGAAAGGTATCAAGACGCGGGAATGCGCACACGATCCTTTTATTAATTAAGCATATCAATCCGAGGTTCGGATATGAACACATGGACTAATAGCATATTTAGAATATTTAACTATTTTTGTCTCTTGTATATTCGATATATTTAATTATGTGTTTTTTTTTTTTTTTTTTACTTATTGCTATGGATCTTGAGTTAATTCTACTCTTGAATTATGAGATATTAAAAGAGTTTAAGTTAGTTAGCTAATTAATTGCTTAAGACTGATTTATTAAACCCAAATTATTTTTATAAGACCAATGTTTGGTGTACTAAGTACTAACTTCTCACCAATTTAAGCTCAACCCTTCGTTCTTTATTAATTCAATCCTAAAGTTACCAGATTAACGGCAACTAAAAAAAAAATCTAATGATCTTTGCAATTTTCAAAGTCTATTATTACGATTGAACTATTTAATATGCTACTATTTTTGTTATTTTCTAAAGATCTAAAAGTATAAATTAAGCAAAGAAGTAAAATGAACTAATTAAATTATCTTAAAATTAAAACACATACAGAATAACTATTATACTAGAACAAAATTCATCACACATATCTGCTAATTACTACTTCAACCTTTATTAATGCTTGGAATAAAAAAAAATATTCATATGCAAAATTACATGGTTTTCTATATTGAAGGTAAATCAGTCATTTTATTGTGCAAAATTGACACGTCTTTCAAGGACAAATGGAGATCTTTGAATATGTATTTTTTTGTTAAATAAATAAACATTCAAAAGCTAAAGAACTGTAACTGCAAAAAAAAAAATCTTTTAGATGGCTCAAGTTCACGTTCCCGGTAGGACACATTAAAATATATAAAAGAATGAATAGAAGAAAACCTGTAGAATGAAACTTCTTTAAGAATAATAGTAGGAAATGAATATGTGGTTTCAACTCTGTAATCCAAGCGAAATGGCAACAATGAATAGATATAAAATCACGGTCAGAGCCAAAATTTCTAAGGAAAATCGGAACCCGAATCACGAATGTAACCTCTACTGGAACTCCATGTTTTCTGTTTGAGAATTAAAAATGCAGAACCTTTTTCATTTTGTCTTCTCACTTCTTTTTCGTTCTTTTCTTTTGCTTTTTGTCAGATCCTCTGACTTCTGCTTCTTTCTTTCTTTTGTCTTACGTTTTTGCTTTTCTAAGTTTTCCAATCTTCTTTTCACTTTTGTTTTGCTTTCTTGGTCGGATCCCCCTTTTCGTTTTTTGTGCTCTCTTTTATTTATAAATTAATTGGGTAATTGGTAGTTAAATAGAAAATTATGGAGATTATGTGTTGCGTGTGCATATGACCTGAGGAGTGGGGGTGAGGCATGAGTGAAGTGGGGAAGCGGAAAAGTTGGGTGGTTTTATTTGTTTATTTGTTTATTTTTTTAACTTTATATATATTTATTTAACTTTTCCTAACCCTTTTTTTTAAATCAAAAATAAAAGAAGATAAAACACACACACACACACACACACACACACACACATATATATATATATATATATATATATATATATATATATATATATATAATATATATATATATATTCCAACTTACTTTTAGACTTAAAGAAACTATGTAAATAAGAAAACTCAATATTTACACTAAAGTATAAATTATACCAAGAAAAATACTACTATAAATTACATCTAAATTAGAAGAAACCAAATATATATATAAATTTTCTTCTATTTAAACATTGGAAAAAATCTTATATTCTAAGAATATGAATATTTTTTATAGTTTTTAACTTTCTTAAATAAAACCTATAAGAGTAAGATAAACATTTAAAATATTAAGATTAGACCTAAAAGAAATATTTACACTAAACTAGTATAAAATTTTAGTGTGGTCAAAAATTAGTTGTTCACACTTATACTATTTCTACTAGCTTTAATTAATTTCTAATTTAATTAATTCTTTTGCTAAAATTACGGTTTCGCTTGCGTAGCGCGATACTTAATATTTTAGTAATTTCTAAGTGTAGTAACTTTTTTTTTCAAAAGTAATAATGTACTAATAATCCTTGTCATAACTGCGGATTCGCTTGCGTAGCGCTGTTATGATAAAATTAATAAATTTCGTCTCGATCACGCATTTGCTTGCGTAGTGTGGTTATGACATCTTATTATTCAAACAAAATCTTTAATTTTTCTAATAATCCAGATATAAAAGTGGCTAGGTAAAAATATAAAAAACATATAAATATCAATTTGTTCAAAATTAATTAAAGCCAAGTTTATGTCAATAAAGCGACCGTGCTAGAACCGCGAGACTCGGGGAATGCCTTACACCTTCTCCCCGATCAACAGAATTTCTTACCTGAACTTTATTTTCGCGGACTGATAATAATAGAGTTAAACCTTTCTTTGACTAGGGATTCAAATAAAAAGGTGACTTGGAACACCCAAAAAATCAATTCCAAGTGGCGACTCTTTAAACAAAATAATCCCTATTCAAGCTTGTCACTTTAATTGGAAAAACTCTTTAACCCACCCACAATCCGTAACATACATATCTTTCGGGGGTAGAAAAAGGGGTGTGACAGCTCTGGCAACTTTGCTGGGGAAAACCAGAATTCGAGCTTGTACATGTTGACTTTTATTTGGCTTTATTAATTTTGTATATACTGTGATTTATTTGGGCATAATGTGCTACTTGTTTGCTTTTTACCGCTTTGATATTGTTGAACTGTACATATAAATTGTCTTCTCGCGCACTCCCTCTGATTCTTCTTGAAATTAAAAATTGGGAATTTGCTTGTCATAGCCCGCTTTCTTTGAGATAGCCGAGGTGCTTGTCACCCGGTGAAGGATTTTAGTCACACATATTTTAGGCGGGGAGCACCACCAGCTAAGCCGGAAAGCAATGCTACTGGTACGCCGAACCTCCTCGACTCGAGTTGTCTGCTCGAGTAAACCAGTCTAGATACATTCTCAACTAGGATTTAAACCTAGAAAAACAAATCGCATGCCGGATATCTCTAGTAGGTTCGCTTTATTTGCATCACGTATATTTGACTTAGCGAAGCTTGGCACGGGGGCCGGGTCCGTATAGGACAAGTATCCTCTTTGAGACCATCATGCTCACTTATGTGCTATTTGCTACATCATTTGGAAGGCTTGCTTGCATTGTTGACTGGCTTTAGAAAATTAGTTGAGCGGAATTAAAACAAAAAAAAAACAAAAAAAAACATTCTCCTAGTTTAGTATAAATAATCCTTTTTTACTAAAATTTTGAAGTAGTCTGAAGTGAGGTGTAAAGATTAATTTTCATAAAAATCAGAAAACAAATAGTCGGTTCTACCGAACTACGCAGGGTTTGATTCTCACCGGATGTGAGATACGTAGGCAACCTTTATCGGGGCCAGCCCCCAATTTTTCAAAAATCCAAAAATATTTTCCTTTAATCTTTGATACATCAATTCTCGAAATTTGAAAAAAAGAAAAAGAATTTGAATTCCAAAATATTTTCGTTCTTCTTCAGAAGTTTTTCTTTCGGAAATTAAAAAGAAAACTCAGAATCTAAAATATTTTCGAAAATTCAAAGACATAAATTAAAAATCCAAAAATATTTTCTTCTTCTTTGGAAGTCTTTCGTTTGAATAAAAAAAATATTCTTACTCTTTAGAAGTCTTTCATTCAACAATTCCCACAAAGAAAAATCTAAAAATATTTTCCTTGTTAGGAGCTTTCGTGTTCTAATTTGTATATAAGTAAAAACAAAAAAAAAGTTAGTTTATTTATTTGTTCTTGATACCCCTGAACTACGTAATGATCTAATTCATGCGGCGACATGTTACGTAGGCAACCCCTAAAAGGTTCGATCGAAATATTTTTCAATAGCTCTAAAATAAGGCGAGGTGTA